AATTTTTGGCTTCTCTTTCTAAGTTCTTTATAATGTCTTTTGAAGATCAGATTTTCTTAATATTACTGTGGTCAAATTTATCAAACTCTTCATATGATTTGGAATTTTGCATCTTAAGAAACCATATAAATATTCTCCTACATTTTCTTCTAAAAGGTTTAAATATAGCCTTTCATATTTGAATCATTAATCCATTTGGAATCTATTTCATGAAAGCTGTGAGATTGGGTCCAATTTCATTTTTCTCTATATGAATGGTTACTTTTCCTAGCACCATTTGCTAGTCCACCCTTTCTCCACTAATCTGCGGTGTCAGTTCTATATTATTCTCAAATTGGCACACATGGGTCAGTCTGTTTCTGGACTCTACTCTGTTTCACTGGTCTACTTGTCAATTGCTGACACTACACCTCAGTCTCAATCATTATTCCTTTCCAGTGAATCCTGGTATCTGAAAGAACAAAACGACAATGCGGTCACACCTGTCAGAATGGCTATCATCAACAAATCAACAAATGACAAGTGCTGGTGAGGATGCGGAGAAAAAGGAACCCTCATGCACTGCTGGTGGGAATGCAGATTGGTGCAGCCTCTGTGGAGAAACACTATGGAGTTTCCTCAAAAAACTAAAAATGGAACTCCCATTTGACCTAGTGATCCCACTTCTAGGAATATATCCCAAGAAACTAGAAACACCAATCAGAAAGGATATATGCACCCCTATGTTCACAGCTGCAAAATTTACCATAGCTAAGATTTGGAAACAGCCTAAGTGCCCATCAGCAGATGAATGGATTAAAAAACGGTGGTATACAATGGAATACTATGCTGTGGTAAAAAAGAAGGAATTCTTACCATTTGTAACAGCATGGATGGAACTGGAGAGCATTGTACTAAGCGAAATAAGCCAGTCAGAGAAAGATAAATATCACATGAGCTCACTCATTTATGGAATATAATGAAGAACATAAACTGATGAACAAAAACAGATCCAGAGACAAAGAAGCATTGATCAGACCGTCAAACCTCAGAGGGAAGGTAGGGGAGGGTGGGGGTAATGGGGAGGGATGAACCAAAGGACTTGTATGCAGGCATATAAGCCTAACCAGTGAACACAGACACCAGGGGGGGTTGGGGGATGGGGAGGCAATGGGGCGATAAGGACACATATGTAATAACCTTAATCAATAAAAAAAAAAATTAAAAATTAAAAAAAAGAAGTTCCTTTGCATGTATTTCTTCAGGAGTATCTTGACTACTCTGGGCCAAGTATTGTTCCATATATGTTTTAGAAACAACTTGTGAAGTTCTAAAATAATAATAATAATAAAGGCCCCGTTTAAATTCTAATCAAAACTGTGTGGAATATATAGAACAATTTGGCATAATGGAATTTTTTATAATTTCCTACCTCTTCTGATTTATACAGGTTTTCTTGAATGTCTTTCCATAGGTCTTGAGGTTATTTTATTGAATTCATACTGCCTACCATATCTTTTCTGTTGCTATTATAATTGGTATCTTATAAAAAAAAAATCAGAGATGCTTGGTCTACAATGATAACACATGACCCAGCTCCTATTTTGCCTCACTATCATTAATGGGTCACAATGCTTACAGAAATAAGTATAAACTCTTCTTCAGGCATTGAAAGTCTACAGTTACTCCAAGAATACCCTATGACACAGCATTAACATAAGGTACCACCTTTAACATAAAGTCTACAAATCAGGAAAATATTATTCCGTTTTTATTCATTTTTCTCTTTTCTTCACAGTCCCTCTCATTTCTTAAAATGTATCTTATCTGTCTTATATCAAACCCTTTCTTATCTTCCTCACCCTTGGTCCCAGCCATCCTACAAATCATATATCTTGTTGCACACTTAACAGGCCCAAACACTGTTCTGTCTACCTTGTAGCCACCCTTCCTCTTACAAGTCAGTGTGCCACCAGGCGTCCAGCGTTCAAAGTAACTTTTTAAAGGTGTGGTTCTTCTGACCCCTCACGATAGAATAATCATAATCTGCCTTCATACAGTTCCCACTATATGAAGTATCAGTCCTTGTCTTTGAGTATCTCTATGGAATATGCATACTTTTTCTTTAACAAACAGCCTTTAAAATACTTGAAGCTGAAGACAGTATTAGCATAAAGATCCTGGAATATTTAGAAACTGAGGAAGAGCTGCTGTTCAGGTGACTTTTCTAGGGAGTCTAATCCAACTAAGACTCTAACCGTTTCTCCTACCAAGATCTCTCTACATGTCTGTTCTCTGTGTTTAGTCTAATGCTGACCTAACTAGCCGGGCAGCCACGGGCATATCTGGTCACTTCAGGGCACTTGGATACAATGTCAAGAACTCTCTCAACCGGAGTCATCTGTGGACGTGAAACACGGCAGTAGGGAAAAATTATTTTCCACATCCTGGAACAGGTGTAAAATTATATTTGTCCAGTACACGGCCATACACTATAAGGGATTTAGAGTTTGTTATGGCTCTTGATGAAAAATAATTGCTATATTTGCTTTATATATTATAAGAAAAAAGCATTCAAGTATATCGAGCAATATATGTTCTATCAAAAATTTAATGAGATATTTGAGTGGCTTAGTTTATAGAGAACCAAACAAATGATGTTCAGATATAACTTTAATGGGGTAAACTTGTTCATGGCTGGAAAAATAGTTTTGTCAATAATTCAATATTGGGAGCCACATAATGAATCCATCGCAGCTGGGGAGCTCTGTCCTAGAAGAACATGCGTGCATGTGAAGAAATGGCTGCTTATCTGCTCTTCTTCCCTCTGTCCTTTCTGACTCCTTCACTCTCCCCTTCCTTTCTCCTTACACTATTTCATCCTAACATCGTTTTCATTGACCTATAATTGATAATCCTTTTGCTTCAATGAGCCGCCTGGAGGCCTGAAAATATGCTAATCAACTCATCCTATCAGTAAAACATCCAGTGCTTAGAAAGCAAATCATAGCTGGACAGTCCCCAGGAGGCAGAGCACTGAGTCTGAGGGGCAGGAGCTGGGGAACTGACTGCAGCCACTGGACCCCTCCTGTTGCAAAAATGTGTTTGTTAGAGGGGGATCCTTAAATGCAGAATGGCCTGTGTTTGGTCCACATTTCACTTCCTTTTCTAAACCTCTAGGACTTCAGCGTTCCCTAGCAACAGAAGCAAAGGATCAATTTAGGAAAGTGCTTTCCAGAGCATTCCTATCTAGTTCCTGACCAAGCCATTTAGTTTGAAATTCAAGGAGATTTATCACTGACTGTCCTCAGCAGCGACACTGGAAGAGCAGCTCTTGATATGTACACTACTAACATCGGAGATGACAGATTCCACCTCTGCTGCACAAGCAGGGATGAGCTTCAGCAAGAATTAGTAGTCCCTGCATCTCACTGTGAACTGACACTGTTGCTAGGGAAACTGATAATTATGTGGCAAAATGGAGGGTGTAGAAGGGAAGAAGGGTTCAGAAGAAATGTGAGGTTTTGCTCTAAATCAGGATGTTAATAGTACAGTTTGTTGATCTTCTGCAGTCATATAATTTAATAAATACCATTAATTATATGTTTGACAAGATACAGATTTCTGAACTGAGAGAAAGGAACAGAAGTGAATCGGAGTCTGGAGAGCTGCTGGTCACAGGTTATACCTTGTTCACGCCATTCCGGGACACGTGTTTATTATAAGTGCAACTGCTTTTAGGAATTACAATATTCCAAAACATGAAAACGTGTTGATTTTTGACATTTTGATATAGAAATCAATCTTACAGAGTCGCAGACATAAACCTTGTAATTCTCTAAAAGCTCTAAAGAATTGCCTTCTTTCACTTCACTGACTAAGTCATACAGCCTCACAATACTCTTTAGGTGGGGAAGAGGAAGTGTTACTATTTATATATAATAGACAGTAAAACTCACCCCACTGAGTTGAATGACCTTAAGGAAGTCACATGGCTCTTCAGTGAATGGTAATGCTGGAGCTCAATACTCACATTTAAGCTGCCCAGGAGGCATTATATACAGATTATATCTTATTAAGGGAAAACCCAGAAAAAGATATAAGCTCAGTGAATGGACTCAAGTCTCTAGCTACCACTTCAGTTTTAAATGAAGATTTCCAATACTTTTCATTTTTAATGGCTAAGAGTTTAGTTCTACAAGTTAACGTTACTGCGGGTTCAATCCCTGCCCGTGATCGTCGGCTCTCTCATGACATTGCTGCTATATATTCTCTTATTCCCCTCCCCCTCCAGGGACTACTGGGGAGCTATTTTAACCAAAAGTTTTATATCCCCCTGTGTATTTATAAGTATAAATTCTTATGCATTTTTTAATCTGTAAATATACTATAGATATTAAGACATTCCTTCACATTCATACACACACAATTTATGTATAGGTGTGTATGTGAGTGAGAAAATCAGTGATTTATTTATGGTTGGTGTGTGAAAGAAGACAACCATTTATATAGAAAATGTTTCCAGTATTTTGGTCCCATTATTTGGTCTTAAACAGAATAAAAGAATGAGAATTAGATATAGGACAGCAAGAGAAAAGCAAAAAACTTGCGTAGAACATCTTAACTCAATGAATTCCAAGAGCTGGAAGTAGTTATAAAAAAGATCTTTACTCTAGTGATTTAAAAATTTCAAACCTTACTCATTAATAGATAAGTAGTGTAGCTCACTCTAAATGAACTATCACTTTAAGGCAATTTATTAAGTCTATCAATGTTATGATGGTTTTAAAATAATATTTGGGCTTGCGTAAGTTGGAATTTTGTTTCTTAACATTAAAGCATTTACTTTTGATAAGACAAGTGAGTGCTAAATGATAAGTTCCTATTTTGATAAACCTTTTCTTCTTTCCCATGGTAGAAAGGCGTTTTCAACATTTAAATCCCCGGATAAGAAAAAGAATGTAAAGCCAGATTTTACAGTCATTAAAAACAATGTTTGTCTAAACAAGGGTTAGACAAACCTTGACTCAGGCCATCTGGACAAGACATCTGCTTGACATCCACGTTCTCCATGGTGTCTCCCTTAGAGACTTCTCCAAGAGATGTTCTTCTCTCAAAGATGTTGTTGTTGTTGTTAACTTGAGTCCCATTTTGCTTCAGCAGCCTGAACACCTCAACCTCCAAATCTCTAATCTGAGAGAAAAAAGAAAAAAAATCCATTTCTAAAACTCGAACCCAGCACTCCTCTCCAAGTACTAGGCAAAACTATCTTATTATTTTCATGGCTTTGGCACATCACTCACCCGCACTTGCAGGCCTTGAACTTCCACAACATGAGCCTTTTCCAAATCTTCTATTTTCTTTCTTTCTGCTTCCTGTCTCTTGATGAAATCAAGTTCTCTGAAGAAGAAAATAACAGCTCTGATTGCATCAAACACTCAAGAAATGAGGAAACATGTGAATGTTGTTATTGGAATCAATAAACTACACAGTGGGATAAATAACTGGACAGCTATTTACATAAATAAAATTCAATCATAGTTAGAGAAAACGTATATAGCAATGAAAACAAGTAAAACATTTTAATGTAGCACAAAGTAAAGAAAAATGCCTTGATTCTGCTTACTATGATTTTCATTTGCAGCTCCTGATTCTAGAGCACCCATACATTTTTAGAGCTAATAAACCAATGATCCACCTTGAGTAATTTAGTGGAAATAATTACATGTCAGGTGGTGTCACTATTAGCCTTTTTAAAAATTACATTTATAGAGTAATATATCTAGCAAACTGGTGGAACTGAATGGTCAAAGAAAATTATAATAAGATAGATTCCTATGAATGACCGTGGAAAAGGGCTGGGTGGGTCATAAAAACAGAGGGAGAGTTGTCATTTATTACCCTGAGGATAAGAGGGGGAGAAGGAGAATTATCTTCATTTTGAGAGCCTGGACTATAATATGCAAATTTATCAAAACTTACAAAAGTATTATATGACAGAGTTATATTTTGGGCAAGAAAAGTTAAAATAGTGATGTGCTGAATTCATTGTTACAAAGAGCAATTCCCCCCTTTTAACCAATAAACGTTTTACAGCATTTTCTTTTAAATATTGAAAACATTATTTCCATGATAGGAAGTAACTGAGATATGGTGAATCTGACGTATAGCAGTATGCTTCGCTTCTGAGGCTTGGCATGGAAGGCCAGAAGAGGGCCTGGCATTCCTTTTTGATTGTTCTAGCTAGCTAGCAGTAACTGATGAGATAGTCCAGTACGAATCTCCCCCGTCAGTCTCCCTGAAATTACGCCGAGATCCAACAGATGGAAGCAAAGCAGCATCAGCTGCTGAATTCAAGAGCCGATTGTGGTGCTGGTCTCTGACTGCAGGGAAGTGGCAGGGCAGAGGGTCTCGCTCGTCAATATTTATACCCTCTGTAGTGGGGAAATCCTGCAGTTACTGAGTCTGAGAATGGAGGCGGAAACAGCCTCAGCAAGGCCCCAATTGCTGCTCTGCATGCACTGCGGCCAAGAGCCCTGCCCGACTTCAGCGAGGCTTCCTGCTTCTGAATTACAGGGATGTTTCAAGAAGAACAGAGATTTCAAATGTTTTAACTGTAACTAGCAATGATTAACGATCAAAGAAACAACTTCATGGTGTCACTGGCTGCCAAAAGAATGATACAACAAAGTATAATCTCCTAAAAAAAAGATAAAACTGTTTTCCAAAACTTAACATATATATTTGCTTTAACTATGCTTCTTCGAGGGGTAAGTCTGAGGTCATCTTTTCTATCCCACTAGAGATGACAAGATTACTGGAGACAAACCTTTTTTATATGCATACAAGTATTTTTTAGTCGTTAGAAGTGCTTACTTTTGTTGAAAATCCTTGATCAATTTCTTTGCCTTGTTGTATTTCTTTTCCAAGGCCTGATACTGGCTTTGAGTCTCTTTGAGGTGTTCGTTGACTGTGTGGCATAGTGTTTGAGCCTCGATCCAGTAGCTCTCCAACTTCAACATTCTTTCTTTATTCTCTTCTATATTCTGTTGGAGTTGAGTTTTTTCTAGTTCCCACCTCACTTTCTCATTTTCTGCTGCCTGCAGCTGGATAAAAAAAAAAAATGTCAAGACAAAGATAATCTGGGTACATCTGTACCAAAAATCCCCCACATTTTAATAGCATGGTTTGATTAAATTCAACTGTTAGATATACTCAATCAAAAAACACCTTGAGATGAGAAGCGAAAGCATTATTTTCATTATTTTACAGATTATAAAATTGAAGCCTTGAAAAGTGAAATGCTTTGTCCAAGGCCGCACATCTGATAAATGACAAAACATGGGGTTGACTCCAATTCCCATTATCTTTCCAACACTGAATGTGGTGTGAAATTCAGTGAGCAGGTAAAAAATGTTTTAGAGTTTATCTAATTCTAATCAATGAATTTCAGCAGGTTTTCCTTTAGATATATATTTTTTTAAGTATAATATGTTAAAATTTAAATGAAAAGGAGAAAGTGACAGAAGCACAGTGTGGCCTATTGGTTGGCGGGGAGGGGGGCTTTGGAGTGGTTTATATTTGAACCCAGCTGTCACTACTAGCCTTTAAAAAATTAATTTTTTTCAATTACAGTTTAGAGATTTTTTTTAAAAAAAAGTATAATATGTAAAAAAGGGAGAGAGGAGAGACAAGCTGGAAAGAAGGGGCAGAAGCACAGTGTGGCCTGTCAGGTGGCAGGAAGGGGGCGCTCTGGAGTCATTACATTTAGATTTGAGTCCTAGCTGGGCCACTACCAGCCTTTTTTCCCATTTTATTTATTTGTTGTAATTAATTGTTTTTTTTCAGTTACAGTTTACATTCAATATTATTCTGTTTTAGTTTCAGAAGTACAGCAAAGTGGTTAGTAGTGCTTTACAAGTGCTCCCCTTCCCCATGCTTCAGGCAGCCACCTGGCCCCCAGGCACAGCCATCACAATGCCTTTAAATCTTGGGCAAATAACTTAAGTTCTCTAACTAACGCATGCTTGGAACAGCTTCTTGCGCATAATAATAATCTGATAAATTTAGTTATTTTTATTTTGCTTTTATCCCTTTTGTTGATATTATTACATCCTTTATTTCAATTGACATGAACACAGTTTTTAGCTCATTATTTTGCTGGCAGTGTTCAGAGCTTTATAAACCCCAATCTGCAGGAAAGTATAAAAGATAATGTAAGTAAAAATATAAATAATTGTTGAATTAATTTAAATCCCTCCAGTGGAACAGAAAGGCAGCTTCTTATTTCCGCTTCCGGGGACTGTTAGAAATAGATAATAGTAGTCCCACCCCCTCATTTCTACAGAAACTAAGGCTGATCCTTTAGGTGAGGGGTCCAAGGTCATTTATTCACAATAACTATCTGACCTTTAAACAAGGGTTTCATCTATTTCACACACCTCGTTTAAAGTTCAAAAGCATGCAGAGTCATTATATAAACTATTTTCAAATTCCAAGACATCTCAAAATCATACAGCATTCAGCAAATTTAAAAATGTTATATATATATTTTAAACTAAATATATTGGCAAAACAGATTACAAAGTAAAAAGTAGCAAAAATAACATTTCAAAATTAGGCATTGTTTTATCAACAGAGACATTAAGAGTCATAATAAAGTAAGCCAATCTATGGATATTATATGCCAATATAATAATGAGAAAAATAAAACACTAATTTATTGGATTTTCTAAATTCAATGTTTATAGTCTAAAACATAAGCTTTGTTAAAGCACTTACAATCACAGGGAGAATCTTTTCCCTAATTGTAACCGACAATTAAAAAAACACTTCTATTCTTCCATTCTGTGCCAAGAAACAATAGCAGCTTAAAACAGGACTGGGATTTTACTGCATCTTTTATTAAGCAATGTTTTGCACTCAAGTTGTTTATTTACTAACCATCACTAATTTAAAAATTATTATTCACAGAGCTTGGCTGATACCATGAATGATGTATAGGCATGTTTTGACTAAAGAGCTACAGAGTTATTAGCTGGGAATACCATTTAACCAAAATAGCCTTGCTAATTAATCTCCATTTAAAACACATGGAAAAACCAAAACAAGCGTTCAATGTGAACAGAAAAACAGATTGTTAGTGGTAGAGGAGGAATTATGTCTTAATTTTAAAAATACCATAAATACAATAAAGAATATTGTTTTTTTAAAGTAATTCAAAAGATATTTTTAAATCTCTGAAACTACATATTTGATGAAACTAGACACAATTCTAGGAATGTACAAGTACCTTATAACTTACCAACTAAAAAAATGCCCTTTTGAGTCTTATAAATAAACTAAAAAATACATAAAACCTTCCATCATGACCTGTTTCCCCCCACAAATTTAAATAATGTGAACTAAAGGACTGAAAATTTCCAGAAGCATCTGGCACCTACAATCAACTATTCATATATTAAATTTCATGATATTTATTAGAAATTGAATTTTTTTCTATACAAAATTAATGTGCTATGTTAAAATACATTGTTCCTGAGGAAAATGAAAAATAAATGATTAAACCTATCTAAAATAAACCTACCTAAAATTAAAAAATAAATAAATAAATAAAAAGAAAGAGATACAGTCTAATAACTTGTGCATAAGGAATTAGTGGTCAAAATGTAATTGAGATTCATGAACCATTAAAAATATTTACTTTTTGGGGAAAGCTCTGAGGAAACTACATGTGTGTAAATATGTAAATATGTATTTTTAAAATATTGCGCAATTCTCACTAAGGGGGTACGGTGATGCTCACACCCCCGTGGTGCAACTCTCACTGCCAGATTCATCCATGCATCTAACAGTGGACATGAATCTGTGACATTTGTATTCTTTCAATGGTACGGGAACAAATCCTTTAGTCCCAGGGCTGAATTTATTCATAGCCTCCGAAGTTTAAAAAGTACAATTCAAACTCCATGTATTGACTGGTGCGCTTACCTTGGTCTTCAATTTTTGAATCTCTGCTTCTGTAACTGCATGTTTGATTTGCAGCTGAAAATGGAAAAGAAAGAAATATCGGAACTAAGAAAGTCTATCTATATTTTTCAGGTCTCAGCAACTAGAAGAATATATTGTTGCACAGCAGAAGGCCTAGAAAAGTGCTGCAAGGCAGCAGGTTGTAAATTAAAATGCCCAGTGCGGAAAAATGACTTACTAGGTGCAAACTAATCATACGCAGGGCCTATGGCCCACACTCCCTAACAGAGGAGTAAGTTACGATTTAATTGATCAGGGACCAAAGAGAAGAAAACACATTTGCTTGCTCCCTTTGCAGCTCTTCTTTAGGATTTGAATACCACGCAATTGTTTCCTTGCAGTCCCGGTACTAAAAAGCCTAAGCAGGAAAGTCAGCCAGTGGCTGTATGAAGATGCTATCCCAAACCTGGAGGACAGGTGGCGCTGTGGTACCACGAGTCACTAGGCTGAGCAGCTCTTTTGCTGCAAAGGGGGAGCCGAAGATGATGCAGTTCCACAGCGGAATCGGTGTTTATTTTTTAATTGCAGGAAAGGTACAGATCTAGATTTCTGTCCTCCAAAACATCTACTTCTGTTGAAAACCAGGGCTTAAAAAGCTTCCGTTACAGTGTATTAGCACGAGAGCCCCTCTATTTACACATTTGTTTTGCTTCTCCTCCCCGCCCTCCACCCCCACTTTTTTTTCTTTTCTCTGTGAAGGAAGAAAACAACATACTCATTTCCTCCAGGGATAAATACACCAACATTTACGGGGGTGACAATCTCCTCTCTCAGATCCTTGGGGCCAAATGCGTTTGGAATTCAGAATTCTTCCAATTTCAGAAAGGTAGAAAGAAGCATTTTTCCCTAAGTCGCTATTACCCACAGCAGGTTCTGTGGAGGCGCCCTGTAATCAAACCCACGAATATTTTTGCGTAAGACTATTTCCACTAAGTGAGGGAAAGAGAAATTGTAAATAATATCCTGTCAGCTTGAGTCATGTTTACCCCCAAATGAGTTTGCCACAGAAGTATTTTAGAAATCTGTTTTCAGACCATATTGGATTTGGGATTGAACAAAAGGGGCTGGAAACTTCTACTATTACTGTAATCAAGTAAGCCTAAGGTTTTCTTATCAGAAAGCCTGATGGAAGGACAGAAACGCGAACCTTTGGAGATGACGACGCCTCAGCAACCTCAGCTCTCTCTTTAGTTTGTAACCTGCGTTTTCTTGATTTTTACCTGGCCACTACGGGCATATGGGCAGAATGAAGAGGGGAAGAAGCCAGACTCAGGCACAGGTTGACTTAATATCAGTAAACGCCAATGAATAAAAGCTCAGACTCTGGACGCCCCCAGCTCCTAGCAGAGGGCTCCCTCCTGGGCGCTCTCGGGCTCCTGCTCGGTTGAAAGCCCTGGGGTCTGCAAGGCTGCAGCGCTCACTGCTGTCCACCCCGCCCTCCGTCCTGAGGGGTGACCTTGACAGCTGTTCACATTCGGTTCTGCCCCACGCACATCTTCCTCTCCCGCTCGGGGACCTGGCGGCTCCTGCGGTCTCGCCCGCGTGGCTCTTGCGCTTTTCACCCTCACTGGTTCCCAAGGGCCTCTGGACGCTCCCCGGGAAGAAACACCTGGGACCCGACAATGCCAGGCAACCCAGCCTCACACGCCCGAGTGCCCAAGTGCCACTCCAACTGTGGGCCCTCGGATGAACACAGCCCTGCAGAATGCCCATCCTTATGCTTCTGCACTCACGTGAGATGGAAAACTAGGTTCCTGGCCAGACACCGACCCCGCCCAATGCTCACAGTGAATTGCTGTGAAAACCAGGATTTGGAGCCTTGATCTTCTGGTGCCTGACCCAGTGCCATTTCATTAGAGATTAATTCAACAGGCATTTATTAAAGAGCTGTTATGTGCAAGGTGACGTGAAAATAACTCTTTCTCCTTCTAATAAATACCACTGTTAATCTACCCTACCAATATGAATAAACTAAAAATGGCAAAAGTGCTTAGATGTTAGACATGATACATTAATTATACGTAAACATAAATATATTCATGCACGCACACATACACACATATATGGCTATAAGGAATTGTTTCCCATGGAGACCTTGCACTTCAGGGTGCACACACTTGGGCACCCAGCAAATCCATGTGTCTAACTGGAGTATGTGCAATTATTATTGACAAGATCGAGTCCTTGCTCTTTCTACCACGTGCCAAGTGTGAAGAGTGCAGCAGGTCCTCAATGTCCATTTCACTGTGGACGGTTGTTTCACTATAATATTGATGAGCTACCGAACTTAACTCATTTTTATCAATTAGTCACAGTTCTAAGAACCTACCTACGACGTTAAATGAGGACCTACTGTAGTTAAGTTACATTAACTGAATTCACCTCAGGCCTATCATGTAATGATGTTGGAAAGTTATTTAACCTCTCTTACCTTCATTTCCCCCATCTGTAAAATGAAGTTCCTCATAGGTCTGACCCTTCCTTATTGGGTCAGTTGTTAACAATTACATCAGTCCTCTATAAAGGTAGCCAAGATTAAGAAAGAGTGAACAGAAGA